AACTTAACTCATGTCAAACAGAAATGGTTCGATGGTTTGCCGAAGCTCAACTCTCTGGCGTTGTCACACACAGCATCAGTAGCATGGACTCAAATTCCTTCCAAAACCTTCCTCACCTGTACTTACTTCTACTCGACAATAACTTACTGAAAAGTATCCAGCCTTCTTGGTTTCACGGATTGAAAGCATTAAAACAGCTTTCTTTGAAATCAAATTCAATTCGAAGCATCCATCCTGAGGCATTTAAGTCATTCGAAAATCTTAGCCGCCTGGACTTAAGCAGCAATGCTCTGTCGTGCTTGTCGAGTAACACGACCGGGCTACAAAACCTAAATGAACTAACGGCCAGCAGAAGTAAAAACCTGCCCCTTGGCGATTCGCATTCTTTGTCCATTTCTTGGAAACTCTATTATAAGCAAAACGCTTATTACAGTTGTGTGTCAGTCAGCGTGGACAAAGTCCTGTTCTGTATCTCTAGACATGATACACAGACACGATATCAGGTGCGTATGGAGCTAGCTATACCCAGTCTTCAACCAAACAGCCAATGTCAGATGTTAAGATTTACTCAGTCAGCAATCTACACGTATGGTCTACCACTTGTAATCTTGTCCTCTAACACGGAACAAGACCAACATGCTGCCAACTTGACTCATTTCTGCACACGTGCTTGGGAAGATATGGGCAGCGTGAGGCTAGCTTTGGGCGCAGACGTCAGTCTCCGGATTGTTGAGATGGGTTTGGGCCAGTCCAACGAAGCCCAGATCGTTGCTGTCGTTCTATCCCATGTCACACCAGTAGAAAACAAAGACGGGTCTCATCTCAACATCAATGCTTCTGCATCTGGTCATGAAGAAGTCATTAACGTTGACATGTTTCATCAATACGTGGAGGACGACCTACCGACATGTCTTCCCCTCGCCCGTGTCCAGCGGTCCTGATGACTCCGTCTGTACAGAACAGAAGCGGCGAGAAGAGAAGGAGGAGACCCAGACTACTTGTACGCCCCAGATCAGGACCACCGGTACGATCCTGAACGGGACAATTTCTGATACAAAAATACCCATGACAGTGCAACCAGGGAAGGAAACAGGACTAAGTAGGGGGCGTCGTGGTGTTAGTTGTTATAGGCATCATTTTGGTAGCGTTGGCCCCAGCATGTTTCTATTAAGAAAGCAGGGCTGTTGTTCACGAGGTAACCAAACCGCACAGGCTGCTGATGATCCTTCAGCAGGGTCTCCTGCTGGTGTGGCCCCTCTCAGCCGCTGGAGGATCAGCGGACACGCTGTTAGTGCCAATACGGGCGACACTGCGACAGCACCTGTGGACAACGGCGCAGTGTCTGGCCAAGACATTTAAATGTGTATGAGAATGATGATGATTTAGAAATGCCCATTGATGCTGTATCTGGTCAACACATTAACGTATACGAAAATGATGTTGAGGTAGGTGTGTCTTCTAACAATGTAGCTGGATCAGCCAGGCATGCATATGAGAATGATGCTGAAGTTTTGCAAGACACTCACGAGTATGAGAATGATCATGAGGTAGCTGTGTCTGCTAACCATGTAGCTGGATCAGCTATGCATGCATATGACAATGATGATGAGGTAGCTGTGTCCACTAACCATGTAGTTGGGTCAGCCAGGCATGCATATGAGAATGATGATGAAGTTTCGGTAGGCACTCACAAGTATGAGAATGATGATGAGGTTGATGATCATGATGACGAGGCAATGCCTGCTAATGCAAAAGCTGGGCAACAGGCTAACACGTACGAGAATATGAAATGGTAGCCACGTCTGCTATTGGTGCATCTGTGCCAACTATTAAGGTGTATGAAAATGATGGTGCGGTAGTAGGACCCATATCTGGGAAGCCCATGTACGAAAATGATGGGGCAATGCCTGGTAATCCAAAAACAGGGCAACAGGCTAACATGTATGAGAATAATGCTCATCCTGTGCACCGTTTAAGGTGTATGAAAATGATGGTGTGGGGGTAGGCTCTATTGCCAGTTTGTCTGGAAAGCCCATTAACGTGTATGAAAATGATGATGATGATAAAGCAGCAGCTGCTGCTGATGATTCTGTAGATGGAGAAGACACTCCTGACGAGTATGGAAGGAGCAATTCCCATGCTACATCGTCTGATCATCCGTCAATCTATGACAATGAGGCTACAAAGGCAGCAACTACTGCTCCTCAGAGTCAGACGGTTTATCAGAATGAAACCGGGAAGTCTCATGCCATCTATGGGAACGAGAATGAGGAGGTTCTATCTTCTGATTCTTGGCCCATCTATGGGAACGAGAGTGAGCAGGCAGTGTCTAATTGTCAGCTAATCTATGGGAACGAGAGTGATCAGGCTCAATCTTCTCAGCCCATCTATGGGAACGAGAATGAGCAGGCTCTATCTATTGATTCTCAGCCCATCTATGGGAACGAGAGTGATCAGGCTCTATCCTCTCAGCCCATCTATGGGAACGAGAATGAGCAGGCTCTATCTGCTGATTCTCAGCCCATCTATGGGAACGAGAATGAGCAGGCTCTGTCTTCTCAGCCCATCTATGGGAACGAGAATGAGCAGGCTCTATCTGCTGATTCTCAGCCCATCTATGGGAACGAGAGTGAGCAGGCAGTGTCTCATGCTCAGCCCATCTATGGGAACGAGAGTGAGCAGGTTTTATCTTCTCATCCCATCTATGGGAATGAGAATGAGCAGGCTCAATCTGCTGATTCTCTGGTCATCTATGGGAACGAGAGTGAGGGGGCAATGTCTAATTGTCAGCTAATCTATGGGAACGAGAGTGATCAGGCTCTATCTGCTGATTCTCTGGTCATCTATGGGAACGGGAATGAGGAGGCATTATCTGGTGATTCTCAGCCCATCTATGAGGGTGAGAAGGAAAAAATACCTTCCTGAAAAGAGCTTAGAGGAAAAAACAAACCTCTGAGCTGGGAAATGGTGTCCTGTGCCGAAGGAAAATAGGATTTCCTTTTGGCAAAATTCTACATGTTCATAGCTGTTGCATTAGTACCTGGCGGTGTCTAGCTCATATTCTTGCCTTAAGCGAGACTTAAGTTACTCATGGCAACCATGGTCAAAGGAATGCACTGGAAAAGTTAATGTTTGGCGATTTACTGATGTGTATAGTCTGTATTGATTATTGTACCTTTCTGGAAAAAAGTCATCTTGTGTAGAGTCTAGACAATGCATAGCATCATAGCTGATCTAGATTTTAGACCAACCGGAGATACATACAACCCATTACCACCTGACCTCCCTCCAGGCAGTGTCCTTGACGAGCTGATCACAACAGAGATGTAAAACGTTCACATCCTTGCTGAGATCAGTATATTTACTGTAGTAAAATATACTGTAATGATACCTGGAAATGCTTTCTGCACCTGTAGAACTTAATACATGTAGAATTTGTAAAGTGGTTGATGTTTTTACTTCTAGCTGAAAACATGTACAAAGGCCAAGACGTTTAATCTTTTCTCTCCCAGAAAACAACCAGACAATGCATTAATATATATAATATCAGAAGATCTAGATTATAGCCCGACCGCTGTTACATATTTGTATGAAAGTGGTGAAACTGTCTTTTCCAGCAGACTTCCCTTTGAGCAGGGCGTTTGAGCTCATCACTCCATACTCAACAGGACCGACTTCAGCCTGCCGGCAGAGTGCAGAGTTCTTGCTAAGTATTTTATTTGTGAATGGTAGATGACAGTATTGTTTTTTTTATATATATTTCATTCGGGCAAAGTTTATCCAAAAACTGTGAGCTTTTGCATTGTAAGTGGCCAGTTAGGTTGTGACAGTATACATTAGATACTATTATTTACTGAGCGAGGAGACTTCACAAGAATACTTCGGCGTTCTAATTTGATAATCCTTCCATAGATTCTGCCTACCCTATACTAGTACTACTTTTCATACTATACCATACTAGTACTATTTCCTGCCATGCTCAAATTAACACTACAGATAGGGATTGTTCTCGCTCTCCTGGCGGTATGTGAATGTATAGAGCCGGCCTGTTTTCCTGGATGTAATAACACAGATACATGGTCGTCTTGCGTTTCCTCCCGCACGTCACACTACGGTGCTTATGAGAGCCACAGGGCCCAGCTTCTTGATGCCGCATGTATCTTGTGTACTAAGCAGCAACATGGCACGTTAGGCACTGTACAAAGCGCCTCCCAACGTAACTCAACATGCCTCCCTAAACATGAACATGTAGCGGTGAGAGGATTCCCTTTTGGGGTCCTCTCCAAACTCCGGCCGCGTCACCAGGCTATGGAATGGCTCGCTCTAGTCGAGTGTGGGATTACAGATTTAGAAGAGTCCGCTCTATCCGTGTTTCCTGTACTGACACTCCTAAACCTAGACTCCAACAACTTAACTCATGTCAAACAGAAATGGTTCGATGGCTTGCCACGGCTCAACACTCTGACGTTGGCACACAACAACATCAGTAGCATGGACTCAAATTCCTTCCAAAACCTTCCTCGCCTGTACATACTGATACTCGATAGCAACTCACTAAAAAGTATCCAGCCTTCTTGGTTCCACGGGTTGAAAAAATTAAACCAGCTTTCTTTGAAATCAAATTCGATTCGAAGCATCCATCCCGAGGCATTTGTGTCATTGGAAAATCTTGGCAACCTAGACTTAAGTAGCAATTCCTTGACGTGCCTGACGACTTATACAACTGCCGGGCTAAACAACCTACAAGCACTAATAATCAGTCATAGTAAACATCTGCCCCTCAGTGATTCGCATTCTTTTTCGACTCTCTGGAAACTTAATTATTACCAAACCCCTTATTCTAGTCTTGTGGCAGTCAGGGTGAACAAAGTCCTTTTTTGTATCTCTAGGGGACTTAAAAATTCACAATACAAAGTTGCGATGGAACACGACAGCCTCACGGAGCTAGCCAAGCCCAGTGTCGAACCAAAAAGTCGATGTAGCTATAGGGAGTTACAATTGACTGCAGCAAGCCAAAACTATGGTTTGCCACTGGTAATCTTGTCCTTTAACACGGGAAAAGCCCGACATGCTGCCAAATTGACTCACTTCTGTACACATGCTTGGGAAGATGTCAGCAGCGTGAAGCTAGCTTTGGGTGAACATGTCACTCTCCGGATTGGTTGAGATTCGTTTAGGCCAGTCCAACGAAGCCCAGATCGTTGCTGTCGTTCTATCCCATGTCACACCAGTAGAAAACAAAAACGGGTCTCATCTCAACATCAATGCTTCTGCATCTGGTCATGAAGAAGTGATGAACGTGACATGTTTCATCAACACGTGGAAGACGACCTACCGACATGTCTTCTCCTCGCCCGTGTCCAGCGGTCCTGAAGACTCCGTCTGTACAGAACAGAAGCGGAAAGAAGAGAACGAGGGAACACTGACTACGCCCAGCACCAGGACGACCAGTTCAATCCTGAACGGGACAATTTCGGATACAAATATACCCATGACAGTGCAAACAGGGAAGGAAACAGGACTGAGTAGGCGACTCGTGGTGTTAGTTGTTATAGGCATCATTTTGGTAGCGTTGGCCCCAGCATGTTTCTACTAAGAAAGCAGGGTTGTTGTTCACGGGGCAACCACGCCGCACAGGCTGCTGATCCTTCTGCTGCTGGTGTGGCCCCTCTTAGTCGCTGGATGATCAGCGGACGCGCTGTCAGTGCCAATACAGGCGCCACTGCGACAGCACCTGGGGACAATGGCGCAGTGTCTGGCCAAGACATTAATGTGTATGAGAATGATGATGAGTTAGCAATTCTCATTGATGCTGTATCTGGTCAACACGTTAACGTATACGAAAATGATGTTGAGGTAGGTGTGTCTTCTAACAATGTAGTTGGGTCAGCCAGGCATGTATATGAGAATGATGCTGAAGTTTCGGTAGGCACTCACGAGTATGAGAATGATCATGAGGTAGCTGTGTCTGCTAACCATGTAGTTGGGTCAGCCAGGCATGCATATGAGAATGATGATGAAGTTTCGGTAGGCACTCACATGTACGAAAATGATGATGAGGTAGCGACTGCTTGTTCTAACCAAGTTGGTGGGTCAGCCAGGCATGCATATGAGAATGAGAATGATCTATCTGTGTCCACTAACAATGTAGCTGAGTCAGCAGAGCATGCATATGAGAATGATTTATCTGTGTCCACTAACCATGTAGTTGGGTCTACCAAGCATGCATATGAGAACGATGATAAGATACAAAAACCTGCCGATTCTGTAAGGCACGACACTCACATGTATGAGGATGATGATCATGATGATGAGGCAATGCCTGCTGATTCAGAAGCTGAGCAACAGGCTAACACGTATGAGAATGATGCTAACGCAGTAGATGCTGCATCCCTTCCCATCTACGGGAAGGAGAATGAGGAGGCTCAATGTGCTGATTCTCAGCCCATCTATGCGAAAGAGAGTGAGGGGGCAGTGTCTGCTGATTCTCGGCCTATCTATGGGAACGAGAGTGAGCAGGCTCTATCTTCTCAGCTCATCTATGGGAACGAGAATGAGGAGGCTCTATCTGCTGATTCTCAGCCCATCTATGGGAACGAGAATGAGCAGGCTCTGTCTTCTCAGCCCATCTATGGGAACGAGAGTGAGGGGGCTCTATCTGCTGATTCTCAGCCCATCTATGGGAACGAGAATGAGCAGACAGTGTCTGCTGATTCTCAGCCCATCTATGGGAACGAGAATGAGCAGGCTCTGTCTTCTCAGCCCATCTATGGGAACGAGAGTGAGGGGGCTCTATCTGCTCATTCTCAGTCCATCTATGGGAACGAGAATGAGCAGACAGTGTCTGCTGATTCTCAGCCCATCTATGGGAACGAGAATGAGCAGGCTCTGTCTTCTCAGCCCATCTATGGGAACGAGAATGAGGAGGCTCAATCTGCTGATTCTCAGCTCATTTATGAGGGTGACGAGGAGTAAATACCTTCCTGAAAAAGTGCCTAGAAGAAAAACAAACTTCTGAGCTGGGAAATGCAAATAATCAATATAGTCTAACTAACTTAGTCAAAAAGATTATATTAATCATGATAATAATCAGAATGAACAGGATATTCATATATGAGTACCACAGACATATAAAGCCAGGTCCAGATTATGGTGTTCTGTACCGTAGAAAAGTAGGATTCCTTGTAGAAGTTTGGCAAAATTCTACATGTTCGTCGCTGTTGTATCTGGCGATGTCTAGCTTATATTCATGCCTTAGGCGACAATTGAATTACTCATGTTAATCATGGTCCAAGGAATGCACCGGGCAAGTTGACGTTTGGAGCTTTATTGATGCGTAGAGTCTATGTTGATGATTATACCAGTGTTGTGTGCAATGGCTTATGTAGCTGTACCGTATGTACAGGTTAGAGTGGTCAATTTACATACCTGAAATGTACACACAAGACTGACCCCCAGAAAGTGCAGACAATGCATAAAATCAGGCTGTGCAGCTGGTGGACAGAAAGATGGACACTGATTACAGTGTGGATGGGATTTCAGCAATCATCTCTCCTGGCAGATTGGCAACATTCCTCACACAGAACAGCCCACACATTTGGGCATAGAAGTGGGGCATTTTTACCACTATATAACCTTGAAAACATACAGAAGTACGGCCTTGAGCCACCTTTCAAGAGTTCAAGGAAGGATGGCCAGGTCTTCTTTACAATGCTTCATTGTTACATTTTGAACGATTGATCATAAAGATACCGACATATTCATGTATGGGGACATAGCATTTTGCGTTGACGCTGAGTGTCATTGAAGTTTAGTTTCAGGAATTGGCCGAACTACACCAGAACAAATCCCAGGCATGGAGATCAACATTAGCCTCATTTATTCTTTTGTACAAAAATAATGCTGCAATGAAAAATAATTCACATGTATGGTTTTATCTCTTATTAGATGTCATCTAACATATATGTATCTGCCCTTAAAGATCAGCCTTTATTGTGTTGTAATGTATTGTCGGTGTTAATTTATATCAAATGTACCTCACCGGACGTAAATCCGGATGTTTGTTGAATGATGATAATGATGTATTGATTTTATAATTGTAATATGGTGTTGTATTGTAATGCTATATGTTAGTGTTGCTTTTAAATGTACCATATTGTAAGCAAAGGCAATAAACTGTGACCAGTATACCTCATGGTTGTTGGGAGATTACTTAAAAGGCCATACGAAATGAAAGCAGTCAGAAATAGGAGACAGTAATTATTATAATAAATCATGACATACAAGTCAGATTGATTTAGAATGACTTAGATTTAGCTGGTACACCAAATCTGTTTTTACGGTTTGATAGGGAAAGGGTTACTTTTAATCACATGATTAGCCATGTAACGCTCAGCAGTAATGAATCACAAGAGACGTAAAACTGTAGAATATTTTAAATTGCAGAGATCAGAATCTTTACTGTAGTATAATATGGATGATAAATGTAATGAATATAGCTTTTCTGCAACTATATATGTCTAGTATCATATAAAAAGTGTTGTTGTTTATACTTAAGGCTGAAAACACAAATACTAGTAGTTAATTTCTCTGCCTCTAAAACACCCAGAGAGTCCAGACAATGCATAACATTAAAATTAAAATTAAACTAGATACTAGGCCAAACGGTACTGATTATGTTACATGCATGTATAAAAGGCGATGGAGCTGTCATTCGCACCAGACTTCCCCCCAGGCAGCGTGTTCGAGGTGATCAAACCAATCCGCGGGCGGACCTCCCTACGCCGGACCATGCAACGTTTCTGCTACTGTGGGAATTTAAGGTATTGATGACAGTTTTTGTATTTTTCCTCCAGGCAAATTATTCCAGACAGAACTTCTGCAGAGTGTCAGCTGTTACAATGTAGCTAATATAACTAGATACTCTGTAACCGATTCCTTATTCACTAAGGAAGGCCTTAACGCTTTAACTCAACTATCGATTTATACTCAACAAACATGCTCAAAGTAACGCAGCAGATAGGGATTGTTCTCGCTCTCCTAGCGGCATGTGACGGTTTAGAGCCGGCCTGTTTTCCTGGATGTAACAGCACAGAATCATGGCCGTCTTGCGTTTCCTCCCGCACGTCACACTACGGTGCTTATGAGAGCCACAGGGCCCAGCTTCTTGATGCCGCATGTATCTTGTGCACTAAGCAGCAACAAGGCATGTTAGGCCCTGTACAGACCGCCTCCCAACGTAACTCAACATGCCTGCCTAAACACGAACATGTAGCGGTGAAAGGGTTTCCTTTCGGGGTCCTCTCCAAACTCCGGCCGCGTCACCAGGCCATGGAATGGCTCGCTCTGGTCGAGTGTGGGATAACAGATTTAGAAGAGTCTGCTCTATCCGTGTTTCCTGTACTGACACTCCTAAACCTGGACTCCAACAATTTAACTCATGTCAAACAGAAATGGTTCGATGGCTTGCCGATGCTCAACACTCTGACATTGGCACACAACTACATCAGTAGCATGGACTCAAATTCCTTCCAAAACCTTCCTCGCCTGTACATACTGATACTCGATAGCAACTCACTAAAAAGTATCCAGCCTTCTTGGTTCCACGGGTTGAAAAAATTAAACCAGCTTTCTTTGAAATCAAATTCAATTCGAAGCATCCATCCCGAGGCATTTGTGTCATTGGAAAATCTTGGCAACCTAGACTTAAGTAGCAATTCCTTGACGTGCCTGTCGACAAATACAACTGCCGGGCTACACAACCTACGAGCACTAATAATCAGTCATAGTAAACACCTGCCCATCAGTTATTCGCATTCTTATTCGACTCTCTGGAAACTTAATTATTACCAATCCCCTTATTCTGGTCTTGTGGCAGTCAGGGTGGGCAAGGTCCTTTTCTGTATCTCTAGACGTCTTGAGAAAACACGATACCAGGTCCATATGGAACATGACAGCCTCACAAAGAATAGCCATGCCCAGTGTCAACCCAAAAAATCGATGTAGGGAATTAAAATTGACTGCAGCAAGCCAAAACTATGGTTTGCCACTGGTAATCTTGTCCTCTAACACGGTACAAGCCCGACATGCTGCCAACTTGATTCACTTCTGTACACATGCTTGGGAAGATATCAGCAGCGTGAAGCTAGCTTTGGGTGAACACGTCACTCTGCAGATTGTTGAGATTGGTTTGACTGAGATTGGTTTGCGCCAGTACAACGAACCCCACATCGTTGCTGTCGTTCTATCTGATGTCACGGCAATGGAAAACAAAGGCGCTTCTAGTCCAAACAAAAATGCCTCCGTCTCTGGCCATGAAGAAGTGATGAACGTGACATGCTTCATCAATACGTGGAGGACGACCCACCGACATGTCTTCCCCTCGCCCGTGTCCAGCGGTCCTGATGACTCCGTCTGTACAGAACGGAAGCGGGGAGAAGAGAAAGAGGAGAACCAGACTACCTACATATACACGCCCGACACTAGAACAACTGGTACGAGCCTGAACTGGACAAACACTTATAGTATTTATACAGAACCGACCGTGACAGAGCAGCCAGGGAATTCGAAGGAAACAGGGATAAGTAGCAGGCGTGTGGTAATGGGTGTTACACTAGGCATCCTTTTGGTAGCGTTGGCCCCAGCATGTTTTCTAAGAAAGCGGGGATGTTGTTCAAGAGACAACCAAGCCGCACGGGCTGCTGATCCTTCTGCTGCTGGTGTGGCCCCTCTTAGCCGCTGGATGATCAGCGGACGCGCTGTCAGTGCCAATACTGGCGTTACTGTGAATGCACCCTACAATAATGACGCGATATCTGTTGATTCTGCATCTGGCCAAGACATTAACGTGTATGAGAATGATGATGAGTTAGCAATACCCATTGATGCTGTATACGAGAATGATGTTGATCTAGTTGTCTCTGCTAACCATGTAGCTGGGTCAGCCTTGCATGCATATGAGAATGATGATGAGGTACCAAAACCTAGTGATTCTGTAAGGCACGACACTCACATGTATGAAAATGATGATGAGGTTGATGATCATAATGACGAGGCAATGCCTGCTTATTCAGAAGCTGGACAACAAGCTAACATGTATGATAATCATGAACTGGTGTCCATGCCTGCTAATGCTGTATCTGTGAAAATTACCAAGGTGTATGAAAATGATGATGTGGAAGTAGGGTCTACTCAGTGTTCATCTATGAATGAAAATGATGATATGCAAGCAGTACCTGCTAATTCTGTAGATGTAGAGCCCAGTAATGTTCATAGGCGTAACGATGAGTATGGAATGGACAATGTGAGCGCTTCATTTCCTGATTATCCGTTAATCTATAACAATGAGACTATAACGTCAGCACGTACTGATTGTCAGACGGTTGATAACTATGAGACTGGGGAAGTAATAGATGCTGCATCTCTTCCCATCTATGGGAACGAGAGTGAGGGGGCAGTGTCTGATTCTCAGCCAATATATGGGAACGAGAATGAGGGGACTGTGTCTACCGATTCCCAGCCCATCTATAAGTAACCAGGAGAAAATAGCTACCTGAGAAAGTGCCGAACTTCACAGAGCAAAAACAAACCTCTGTGCTCAAAAAATGAAAAACAAAATGTAGCCAAAAAAGATAACTATGAATATAATCATAATCAACGATGAAACATACAAATTGTTAAAGGTAAAATAACTTTCTATCATATATCAGCATGATCCATTGTTCGTTACTTCAAATTATCAGCCTTGTAAATACCACACACCAAATGATGGCGTTCTGTATCGTAGGAAAGTAGTATTGCCTTTAGCGTTTTGGCAAGATGCTAGTTTATGAATGTAGTACTTGAGGCTCAGTAGTATCTACTTTTACTTGCCTTAGGCGACAAAAATCACTGAATATTAATGATGGCTCAACTGAATGTACTGAGCGGGTTTTATTGTTGTGTAGAATTGATGTTGGCAATTGTAATTACGGCTAAATTATGCCAGTGGCCTATAGAATTGTAGCATCTGTACAGGTTTAGTGGTTTATTTGGTCACATTCTACTACGTAGAAGAAATCCTAGACACGTAAAACTGTAGATCGTCTTGAACTGCAATCATTCTTTTGTACAAAAACAATACACGTGCACGTATTGGAGCATTGTTTGCAACTTTGTATGGTATTCTCACTCTATAAATTAAATGTCATCTATATATGTACTTGTTCTTAAAGATGATCTTCTAACCATTGCGTTGTTGAAATGTAATGTATTGTAATATAAAAGTATATCGTATAAGTCAGTGATTCTTTGTACCATATTCTAAGCACAGAGTAATAAACTGTCACCTGTGAACCTGAGTGTTGTTGGGAGATTACGTTTAAGGCCATAATTGATTGAAAGAAACCAAGAGAAAGTACGGAAAATTATGAATAAGTCAGAATGACTTAGATTTGGCTGGTATCCAATACTATGAGGAAAGGGGATGTTATTCAGTGATAACAAACAAGTAACTCAAACTCCGAACACATAGGCCAGTACATTCTATACCTTTCTCTGAAGAAAAAAAAAGGTTTCATATAAGGCCTGATGATTAAAAAAGGATCTAAGTCACAGATGAACAAGTTATCATCGCCAAAGCATTTAGGTAGCAACTGTGCTGTACTGCTTCTCAAAAGATCATCCACAGTGAAACTCTTTGATATAAAACATGAAGGACTGTACTTGTTTCATTTCTTGTAATATGCACAGTGCAATGGACAGAGTGGTCAGTTTATACCTGAAATGTACACATAAGACTGACCCCCCCAAAAGCAGACAATGCATAAAATCAGGCTGTGCAGCTGATGGACAGAACGGTGGGCAGAATATTACACTGTGGATGGGATTTCAGCAATCATCTCTCCTGGCAGATTGGCCACATTCCTCGCACAGAACAGCCCACACATTTGGGCACAGAAAGAGGACATACATGTACATGAAGTAATATATTTACCTTGTCACATTTTGGCACGACCCCATCTTCATCTAGAGAGCAGTTGTGTACTATTTTGTGAATCCACAGTTAAAGGGTACCTTGTATGTCTGCATAGTTAAGAGTGGTGCAAAAAATTTGCTGTTATGCCTATAGGTATTTTACCAGTTATGAGAAACAAGCAAAACAACAAAAACAAGTCTGTGGAAGCTTGTCCAATTTTATTTAAAAATACATTTTCTTGATGTTGTATATTTTCATCAAACATAGAGGAGTAACAAAGGAAAACAGTAACTGAACAAAACACTACAAGTGTCTGACCACACAACTTTATACCATTATCCAAACAACGAATAGACAATGGCCTAAATGTTGGCATGTGGCAAAATAGTAATCTCCAAGCAGATCTTTGGGTGGGGGAAGACAGTATCCAATTGGCCAGTCTGGAACCATTTCCCACCGTGGTTACAGACTGGACAATTTGATACCGTCTCCCCCCACAGAAAGATCTGCTTGGAGATTAGCAAAATAGAACAATGTGCCCAGTTAATTAACTAGATCAAGGATGTAAAGACTAAATCAAAACATCTTGGAGCATCTTGTAAGTGGATTTTCTGAACTTAAATTTTCCCATACAAAATCAAACCAAATATTCACCACATGTGATCTGTGTATATACAATATTATGATAATTTAGTACATCATATAGACACAAATGTTGCAGTAACTGAAACAAAATGGAAAATTTATACACAAAGACTTGCACCCTGTACCCTAGAAAACAGCTGACATATTTGGTAACTAAAGATTCATACTTTTCCTATATTCAAACAACAGAGCTGTATGTATTAGGGCTACTGTACATTTAACTTTTCAGCAGAATTCATCAGCAGACACAATATGGCAGGAGTAGTGTGTTAGTCTACTCTGCTGGGGCCTCTGCAGGCTTCTCCTCAGCCTTTTCTCCTGCAATAAATACAACATTTGGTCAGAAATGGTACATTTCTTAACACCCCTGTCACACATAGCTGGCCATTGCCTCCCTACCTTCTCCAGCCCGGCCATATGCATGGTTGGGAGGTAGACTAGCAAGGCTGGTGACAAGGTTTTGCTGACATACTATTTTAATTTATGTTAGGTAGCCCACTTTTTTTTTGCACCAAAATTTCTATGGAAGTGTGCCTATCCCCAAAAAAACGTCAAGCCCTGTCAGTGCATTGCTTCTTGTCAAAACTACAGCTGGTGTTGACAAAATATCTGGGAAAAATCTGAAATTCAATGAAAATTCAAGTAATACATTTTAAGCAGTATGAAAAAAAAACATATTATAGCAGAGGAAGATGGTTCAAGCCAGCAATGTACATACACGTAGGGAAACAACAAACCTCAGAAGTCAAAGCCCAAGTTAAATGCGGCTGAGTGATATGAGAAGAGAGATATCATAAGTATAGCAACACGCTGCCTTCTTTCTCAATGTACAACTGAAGTAGATTTGTTGCCTGATGTAATTTTCATGCTTGTACATCTATGAAAGCAGTACAATCAATATCTCATCAGTTTGATAGCATGTCTTACATTCATCTGACTCACAACCGTGATCTTAAACATGTCATCCATGAAGCAAAGAGAATCTAGTAGAAATCTTTGTTACTTCTTTTTCTCTTTCTCTCACCTTCCTTCTGTTCTGCCTCCTCGGCTGGCTTTTCCTCCTCTGCTGCCTTCTCTCCTTCCCCCTCTCCACCACCTGGACATGCAAACAGCATCAGTAAATTCAGCACCAAGGACAGAACCATATTTTCTACGCATAGATTTAAAATCCCTCTAAAACCTGATCTTTCTGCTCCAACAAACCATTTTAAGTTGTTCTTATTCCTGGAGAAATCTAACAAGTTCAAATCATTTGGTTTGTCTCCTATCAATGGAAGGTTAATTCAGCCCCATGAACAGGGACACAACTCTACGTGTAGCACATGAATACAATGCAGAATGGGCACTTCGGTGTGCTAGAGGTTGAAATACCCTATAAACCCCAAAACTTTCTGTTCAGAACTAAGGACACAATGCCTCCACATAAATTTCTCCTTACTGCATAACTCCATAACCAATACAGAATTGGTTGCCAAACTGCTACTTCAGTGTGTCAAAATCCCTTCATAACCCAATCTTTCTGTTCTTAAGTTGTTCTTATTGCTGGAGAAACACAGCAAGTTTCAAATCCCCTTCTTTGTCTCCTTTCAATGAAAGGTAAATTCAGCACCCGGGACAGGGACAATTTTTCCACACTAATTAAAAATCTTTAAAAAGTTTTTCTGCCCATACAGGCCCAACAAAACCCCGTCACACCACCACACCTTCTGCCGGGGCAGTTTCAGCCTCTGCTTCTCCACCTTCTGGTTTTTCCTCCCCGCTTTCCTCCTTAGCAGGTTCAGCTGCAGCCTCCCCCTCAGCGGTGCCCCCTGGTGGTGAGTGAAGGCATTGCATGCAGTGATTATGTGAAGGCAGTGCAGACAAATATGCAGCCTACATGCATAACTATGTGTTGTTTCCAATGTTGTTAGTAGAGTGTGATATGTGTGGACCACTATCCTTGAAATAGACTAATATGCTGCCTACATGCAAGCATGTGATGCTTTAAGAGTTGTAGTGTCTGTGAGCAATCATATGTATGGACATTTGTCCCTCTTGAAATCGACTGGGCTTTTGCAGTCTTGGAAACTAAGATGGCCAGATGGTCTCACAGAGGATTCAACACTGGCAATGTAACATGTGCAAAGACACTAAATTTTCAGTTAATTCTATTGATGTTATATTTCACAAGTTGTAAACTACATGACGGGGGAGGAATGAAATCTAGAAATGAGTAATAAAAGGAATGACTAGTAAATAAAATCATTAATCTAGTAACCAAATCTACAAAATGGGGAAACTGGTGATTACACAAACAAACAAAACAAGTGACTAATCATCAATGAAACAAAGTAAAATCACTAGGGGTAAGAGAGAAGGTGATTGTTAAGACACCTCTAAAATTAAACTATATTGAGATATTTGATGGAATTTAGGAACAAGACTGTTAGAGTCAGATTGAATTATTCTATTCTACACTTGACTGAAATGTTTTGATTAAGAACATGACCTTGACCCCTTCCATGCAAAAGGGAAAAAATTGTGTCTTTATGAAAGTGCCAATGCACCACTAAGTGTTTAAGAGGGAAAGTAAAGATTGTGATGAACTTATCAAATTACACTGCATGCAGAGATGGAACCTTTTCCCCACAGTTGGCAACATGTCCTGTTACCGAGAGTCTAGTTCCCTTCCTACAACTAACCTTCCTCCGGACTCTCTTTCTCTCCCTCATTCCCTTCAGCCTGTTCACTCCCTTCATTTTCACCTGCCTCTTTCTGTTCATTTTCATCTTTTGCCTCACTCTCCTGCTCTGCACTCGTTTCTTCCTGTGCTCCCTCGTTCCCTCCTTCTAAGGCAAGAGTTTGCACGCATGCCCTCCAGTGTTAGGTTTGTGTGCTTGTCGGAAAGAGACTCTACTCCAAACAACTGGCCTTTTTTATAAGTCCCTTTTGGGGCTTTATGTCAGAAATGAATCACATTTTACAACTTGGTCTAGGGATATTTTTTCTGAATTTGTGAGAAGAAATTACTTTCAATAATCAGTTCATTTTTTTCCTCTGAAATTTGGACGGTTTCATTTTCATTTTGTGGTAGGTAGAGTCTCTTTGCTAACATGCACACATTTACAATCATGCTATGTTGTTCTAAGTTAAACTACATGAACTATTGTGCCCTGTGGCTGCATGCATTACCATGGAAGCTGTGACTACTGTTGCTACCCTACATGCTAAGCTACTCATGTTTAAACTTTCCTTTCTACAACTATTTTAATCATTAGAGGTATGAGCTACTGTTAGTAAATCTACACCTAATTATTAAGCCTACTTTTAGAAAAAACTAAGTCTATGGAAGGTTTACTAGAGACTACTTTACTCAGGCCATTAAGGTATCTGAGAAGTTTGTTGTACAGCTAGACCAGGATCTCCTACCTTCTGGTTTGGGCTCATCTCCTCCTTCTGGTGCTTCTTCCTTCTGTTCTTCTGTGGCAGGTGCTTCAGCCTCAGGCTTCTCACCTGGTGCAGGTGTGGCACAGGTGAGTTTACAGGAGAGACATGCAAGCATGCAGATGTGTCAAGCTTGTGCAGGATTAGTGATATTACTATAAAGCAATCCAATAGTTTTGTGTACATCTAAACTTCTTGTCTTCACATAGGGTTAAAAATGCTTAATAAAATTGCCCTAAATACTGTCTTTTCTCAGAAAAATGTGTTTACTTGTGATTTTATGAAGTTTGAATCTTATTCTATGCTGATGGTATGGTGTGTAAATCTTGTCTTTAGGTTTGTGTCCACAAAATTGCCCTAAGTACTCTATTTTCTCAGACAAATGTGCAGCAACAATAACACTGTTTGCTTGTGATGCTGGCTATGGATTTTGAATCTTATTCTGATGTACTTCCTTCTGAAATCCTGTTGTAATTCCTTGGTTGAACTCCTGTTTTTCACACAGTCTGATTAAGGCCTTCAAAGTGGCATTTCACTCTTCACAGTAACTGCACTTTTCAAGCCTAAAGTGTCCTCCAGTCTTTTACCTTCCTCCTCTGGTTTTGCTTCTTCCTCTTCCTTCTTTTCTCCTTCCTCTGCTGGCTGCTCTCCTCCCTCAGCCTCTCCCTCCTTCTCTCCCTCCTCCCCCTCAGCTACATTAACACATGCCGACATGCAGATTTCTACGGTGCAGCAGTTACAGTAAATATGTGCAGATACAAGAAACCCACTCACCTCAGAGATGGACAGAAGAAAAGAGAAGAAGATGAAGGAGATTTGGCAGAAGCCAGTTCTATCCTAGGTCACTGACCCCATGTGACCATTGGCTTCTATCATTTTTAAGCCAGGATGAAAGAAAGACTGGAAAGCACCCTGTAGTTTATGAGCTTACTTATCATTAAGACCTGAGCCTCTCAATATCCAATTCAGCAATACCAAGAGTACATATGCCTGGAAGACTTAAATACAGACTCTTGACCAAATATAAGGACTGAATGTACCAACAGATGCATCTAAACATCTACTAGTGTTGACGTCACACTTCAAAGAAGCCATGTGACAAGCCTCACTGGGTAAGTCTACTGAGGAAAACCAGAGTGACTAGTCGAAAGCTCTAGGTAAGAGAACTTCTGTTGGATCTAAAGTTTTTACTTTAAACATCAAAACATCTAGCCTGGGTGCCACCTGATCTGCTTTATGGGCTCCTTATATTTGCTGGCACCCAGGCTACCAAACACCAGTATGTTTTCAATAGAATTCCCCCTGTATTACCGCTGGGTTGTGTGGCCATGTCCAGTTCCGGCTCCATGCCCTTCACCGTGCCGTCAGGGTTAAACTCGATGTCCCCGAAGATGGCCTTGATCTTCTCGTGGGCGTGGTCGGGGTTGGAGCTGCCGTGCAGCGCGTTCTTCAGCATGTCCGACGCAAACTGCGCCCGTAACCTTGGAAACGGTTCATAACCATCATTAATTATGTGCCATACACAATCCATGTGGGGAAATAGACCAACCCATGTATTGTCAAGCACAGCTGGTCCTTCAGACAAAACCTAATAATGCAAAACCAAACAGAAAAGCAAAACTTTGACTAACAATTACCAAATTTTGGTTGATAGCTGGGATTGGTCTATTCTAGATCTAGTCTAAATGGACTAAGAGAATTGTAACTGTTGTTTAATTTTCACACAAAAGGGACTACATTCAAAAGGAATACATGAGAAAATAATTTATCATTTTATGACTTTCATTTTATGAAGATCACAATAGAGTACATATATACATTTTTCCTGTAATTACAGATCAAATATCAACTGTGGTATTGATGATCACAGTAATTTCTTGCTACTTCATGAGAGATAACTGACTGTGTTATTGCACATCAATGGAAAAGAGTGGGGTTTTCTCTTGGGAAAAATGTGTAATGAGTCTTTTTTTAAGTTTTGTGAAAGCTTTTTGTTTTTGTGGGCTCAAATATCCTTCCTGAAGACTAGAGTTCTGTAACTGTTTTAGAAAAGAATAAAACGTCCTCAACAATTTCTGTGAAGTTGAATCTAGGCTTTGTAGAATTTGGGTATTATTTTCAAGCATGTATTTTTGTCTTGTTTTGAGTAAAGAAGTACTTTTTCACCAATTGGTGAAGTGGCACTGTTAAAACATTGACAGCAGCTAAGCAGAGCAAAAACACACTCACTCTGATAATTCAAAGCAAATAGAACAGGATTGCCAAAAGATAAAATAAGATTGCAGAATAAAACAATAAAGATTGATGTAATAATTCAAAATAAAACAGAATGCCAAAAAATAGAACAAAGCTCAAACAAAACAGAACAATTGAAATAATAAAAATTAGAATAAAAGAAGACAAAACAAAAAGGGAATCAAGGAATCAACTATAAAACGTAACAGAGCTGCAACTGCAATTCTGCAAGCCAGAAAACACATTACGGTTTTAAAACTACTCTAATTTCTACATTAGGTATGCTTGCTTGATTAGCATATCAAACACAACAACATATAAAGCACACAAAAGTGATGCAAAAACATGCATGTGCACTTCATGTAATTGTATGTGAATCAGGGTTAGGCTTTGGATTAGTGGTTGAGCTAGGATCAGGTTAGGATTAGGGATTAAGATCAGGATTAAGTAAGCCATGTAGGCAACTGTAAAAGATTACTTGTAAGCTGGATATCATTGGAGAAGCAAGTTGCCAGCCTACATAAGTAACTACATCATGATGTTAGTTTCACAAGCTGAAGCCAAACTGCACAGTTGAAATGCATTCAAACTGCAGAACTGATAAGTTCACACTTTTGCAGCAGCAGCAGATTTTAGCGAGCGAAACGTTTTTTTTGCGCCATGCCCCTCCACCATAACTGGTTACAGAGACTGCCACAAACTGGACAGACAAACAGACAGGCGGAATATTCCACTCAAACCACAAACCCATCGGGCGACACTTCCGGCAGACATGTACAGAAATCTGAGACACTTTCATGTGTTTAAGCCACACCAATGTAAATTGTTGGTTCTTGGTCGTAAAGGACAATCAATAAGCAACCTTCTCATGTTTTTGAATTCTACCAACACACACACAGGCAATGCAGACATGTCCTTGGTGCTGAACCCACAGTTATTTTTTATCTATTCATTCATTTATTTTATTTTTAGCAAACCATAGAGAACACAATGCCTAGAGCAACAGGTTTATGCCTCTGTGCATTCAGTTTTATGGAGTGAATACAGTCAGGCATTGCAGACCTGTTCTGTCCTTGGTGCTGAAATCCATCCACTCATATGTCACTGCTGCTCGAACAACAGTTACAGAAAAACCTAATGAAAACAAAACCTGAGGACTTGGTTTATGCCTTTTGTGCAATCAGTTTTATGGAGTAAATACAGTCATATTCAAGTTTTCCTCCCTGCCCTCAGCTTTTATGATGTCTGCTTGCTGTATTTTCACCTTAAAATGTCCGAGAACCAAGGAAAAAAAATTGGTGTGGCCTTAGTTTTCCTTTCTTAGATCAACCGCTAGTTTAACCTGCAACCAGAGTCACGGGCCTGCATCACAAATAGTTGTAAGTAAAAGGCCTGTAACACTGTTTAGGGTTAAACACGACTTTTTTCCACTTCTTGCACCTGTATGCATACCCATGCCATGAGGATGTTGCCATGCGCATACACACAGTTTGCATCACGTTTTGCAGCAATGCAAAATGCCGCCGCCGTGCAACATGTTGATGGGATTGTGGTTTCTTGGTTTGTCAACCAACGGAACTTTCCAGCCAACCAGCCCACTGTGTTTTTGAGACTCACGACTCGGGGAAGGCTTCCCTGGCCTCCTCTGGGTTAGTAGGGCCCATCAGAAAGCGGAACCGATCGACGGCTTCCTCTTGACTGAGCACGAGGAACAGGGTGGGACCGCTGGGGGGGAGACACCAACCAACAACCATTACACACCTGCCCACAGCGCCCCGGGGACGAGAGCACAGGCTGGGAACGAGACTGCAACCACTTGACTCTTTCAGAAGTTTGATAAACAGGTCAAACTTTTAACATGGTACAATTTTGAGCCAAATCTAATTCAGAAGGGATAATCTTTTTCCACGAATGTTGAATTTAAAGTTTTTTCTTTTTTTTTTTAATTCATTTTTTTGTATTTTGGAATTTTTCTAAAAATAATTTCCTTTGAGTTCTTTTTCAAGTTTCAAGACTTTATATAAATTGTTGCAATGTGTTTCCAATTCAGCACAACAGGCACCCTAAAAAACTTTTCTTCAATCTCTTTCACAAAACGGCAATTTAAGAATTTAAAAGCTGCTTTTTCTTTTTTCAAATATCCAATTGAAAACTAGTAGCAATTTGGGGGGAAAATTTATGTAGCTTTTAAAAAAAATTTAATAGTATGTAGTTTTTGTAACTTTTCCAAAACTTTGCCTCAATCTTTTTAACAAAACAGTATCATAGGATTTCTTCAAACATCCAACTCAAATAGAATTTGAGTATCAGACCCAGTGGCCCAGCAGTCTCCAGCAGCCCGTGCCCTGTCCCCGGGTGTTTGGCATGTAACTCAGCAGCAGACTTACGAGTCGGGACACTGCTCCTTTGCCACCTCCGGGTCGGTCGGCCCCATCAGCGACCGGAACCTCTCCACTGCATCCTCCACTGAGAGGACCATGAAGAGCGACGGACCGCTAAGGAAAACGTCATGGTACAAGTGTTAGGGACGGGGTACCGGGGTCTTACTGACTAACACCTTACCTGGATCCCTCTGCACCAAGGTGACTTACAGGCATGCAAGACATGTGAGACTTTCACTAGACAAACAAATTAGATACTCAAATTCCTAGCTAACATCTGTAAATATAAATTAAATCATTGAGTCTCTAATATTCCTGAAAAGTGAAGAAATCTGTTTGAAATGAAGTTACAGCAATAATAATCATGGCCTGTCAAACTATTCATCATTATCTAGTGATACCTATCAATGATGAAGATACTGTGTTCATTGTCAGCTGAGGAAAACTACCAATAATTCCAACTACATGTACAAGACATAATATTAGATAACCACCTACTAACTTTTGTTTCGTCTACCATTTATCCACTTTCCATGGTAGTCCTCTGCTGTTACAGTTATATTCTACTATTAAAGTTAAGACATGTATAAGAACCCCATGAGGTCCAGACCTTGTCATGTGCTCCACCAAGTCTCCGTAGAACTCCCTCCTCTACTTTCCACATAAAACATGCTAGCTGTACGGTACACTAACTACTATATTCAAGAATCCCCTGAGATCCAGACCTTGTCATGTGCTCCACCAGGTCTCCGTAGAACTCCTTCCCTTCATGCTCGGTGTACAGCTGCTGAGCCAGCTCCTCCGTTAGAGACGTCTCCTTCTGGAACGCGATGTTGAACCCGGCTTCCTGGATCCTCGCGATGATCGCATCTGGGAAAACAGAGAAGAACAGATACGTCAGTGAAGGTTAGACATCAAGGTAATAAGATGCCAAAAAGCAGTTGCTCAAGCAACTGGATATGATTTTGGAAATGGTCAAAATCATTCCAAAATCATATCCAGTTGCTTGAGTAACAGCGTACTGTTTGTTGGTGTAGAGAAGAGCAGACTTTACTTTGGCTGAAGTAAGAAAATATTTTGCCTAGTTGCAATTTCAATGTCTTGCAGTTACATTGGCCAAGGACAGCCATATGTTCCAACACCCCTATATAATATATTCCTATGTCTCTAAGTTCTTACACCCTACGTTACAACATAGGGCTATGGTTGTTGGAACATAGTTTCAGTTTCAGTTTATTTATTTTACCAGAAGGTTACACTGAGTTGTCAGCCATGTATATAGGGGTGTCTGAACATGGGGGTGTTGGAACAAAGGGGTTAACCATGATTGTTACAGTAACTTCATAAAAAAGTAACAATCACCAGCCATGTGTACATAGTATGACCAGATCCCTACCTTTGTGTTCCTGGGCATCCGGTTTGACCACGGCCAGAGTCTGCTGCATGGGGAAGAAGAACTGCACCTCCTTCTCAGCGTTCTCCACGCTGTCACTGCCGTGGAGCGGGTTCACGGACACACCCTCCACCGCAAACTGTGCACGCAGGCTAGAGGGCAAAGGGTAAAGGTTACATCACTGCCAGGGATCCTGGTTCATGGGGACAGCGAAGGCGCATGCAGGCTAGAGGGCAAAGGGTAAAGGTTACATCACTGCCAGGGAGCCTGGTTCATGGAGACAGCGAAGGGGCATGCAGGCTAGAGGGCAAAGGGTAAAGGTTAGATCACTGCCAGGGAGCCTGGTTCATGGAGACAGCGAAGGGGCATGCAGGCTAAAGGGCAAAGGGTAAAGGTTACATCACTGCCAGGGAGCCTGGTTCATGGGGCAGCAAAGGGGCATGCAGGCTAGAGGGCAAAGGGTAAAGGTTACATCACTGCCAGGGATCCTGGTTCATGGGGACAGCAAAGGGCGACGCAGGCTAGAGGGCAAAGGGTAAAGGTTACATCACTGCCAGGGAGCCTGGTTCATGGGGCAGCAAAGGGGCATGCAGGCTAGAGGGCAAAGGGTAAAGGTTACATCACTGCCAGGGAGCCTGGTTCATGGGCAGCAAAGGGGCATGCAGGCTAGAGGGCAAAGGGTAAAGGTTACATCACTGCTGCAGTGGAGCTCAGGTTTGTGAAAAATCTTCAGCAGCAAACTTGAGGGGCATGCAAGCTAGAGGGGAAAGGGCAAATGACATTACTGCCATGGAGCGGGTTCACAGGCTAGAGGGGAGAGGGCAAAGAGCAAAGGTTAGATCACTACTATGGAGCAGGTCCACAGGCTTCTCAACAGTGGGCATGCAGGCTAGAGGGGAAAGGGCAAAAGGCAAGAATCGTATCTCTTCAGTTCATTGAACTTGATGGCAAACTGGGCAGGCAGGCTGAAGGGGAAAGAGCAATGGGTACATCAGTCCATGGGGCTACATGTAGCTATCTACTTGCTGTTTATTCTATTGCACTACCCCACACTTAATCACTCCAACATAAAATGAAAAAAAAATATGAAAAATAAAAATAATAAAGCTTGGAACTTGTACAGAATAGAGAGTAGAAAGAGACATGTATGCTGGCCAATGCAGACTGTCCATTGTGTAAATCAGGTCAATGTAGGGGCAGTAGAAGTAGCTGTGTGACACTGTAAGGTTGCATGAGATTTCCAGCCTACTTATAGGTGTAGGTGCTTGCTGGCCAATTTGGGCCATTGCTCCTAAATCATATTCATTGTGTGATTAGAACATTGCATAGATAAGCCTGCATTGAAGGTCTGCTTTGAATCAGTTGCAATTGTGAAATTTTCTTTGATGCGGTTTGCTGTAGAAAGATGTATATGATTTAACGTGTAGATGTTGATTGGTGATTGCATTCTGTGATTGTATCAGGTATAAGTTGGTTCTGCATTGCTGGATTTATGTGATGACAGAAGCTGAATCAGACTAAAGCATGGATTCATTTATCGTTTCCAATGCATGCACCGTCTAGCTACAAACAGGTTTGCAGGTGTAAGTAGGTGCCACTCCAGACACTTTCTGAAGCAGCGATTCAAATACCTTTGTGGTGCTGGCGGCAATTGCGATTCGTCGACAGGTGTCTCTGTCTGATCGCTTGCCGTTGTGCTTTTTGACGATTGGAATAAAAGAATATTCAATAACATAACACAAAAACACAACTCATATCATGTGTGACCGTGAGATGGTAGGTGAGGTGCCTGTATGGTTTGGGGTGACAATGATTATCGCATTGACATTATGACTGTTGTGCCTGGGTTTACCCTTTTCAGTGTCACATGACATAGGGCAAAGTGTGCAATGTACATGTATGGACCAGTGGAAGTTGCACAGTTGTGCAGGCCAAAAAAGGAAATGAAATTATAATGAAACCAAAATGAAATGAAAACAAAACTGAAATGGAAATGAAATGTATTTGTCAATCTCATTTCTGCTTACTAACAAGATTCAAACCCATGACAAGTGTTGTAGACAAGGATGTTAGTACTGTTACCACTACATGTAATACTGTACCACATTATACTAGTATCTATAATACAAAGTCAGACATCTTTTGAAAGCACTTTCCAAAGCAAGAGAATCGTTTGCAAATTTTCAACCAGTCCACTTCCTCTGTCCATTTTCATATTGCGTGTCACTGTTGAAGTTTTCTACAATCATCTTCAACTTTATTGTCACTACAATTCTGTCTGTAGTCCAGCAATTACCCCTATTGATGTTTTTATTACTGTTAGATCCAGGGCTACCTTGAAAACAGTTCAAACATGACCTGAGTGTACCTTCCCTGGTTAGATAAGATTTGTTACAGTACTACAATTCTGTCCAAAATCCAGTGACCATTGCTGCTGTTGTTTCTAAAAACAAGTCAAACATACAAAAATTACATTACAAAAAATCAATCTCACCTATCAGGAGCCTCCTCCTGTGCAGCAGGCACCTCCTTGGGTCCGAGCATCTCCCTCCAGCGCTCCACGGCGTCCTCCCGAGCCAGCCCCAGCGCCAGGAGAGGCCCGCACGTCATCGACTCGATCAGCTGCTCAAAGTAGTCCTGCGGAGGCAGAGTGGGAATGGATTGTCAGACTGGAAATATGGGAAGTCACATTTTTGTGTGTTTAATTGTCTATTTGGGTATTTATGTGTAAGAGAGCAGCAGAATAATCAAACCTTGGATAGTGAGTATGAGTGTGTGAGCGAATTATGTCTCTGTACTTTGTTACTACTTGTAACAATGTCTTGGACAGTGTATCTGAAATAAAGACATTTAATCCATCAATTTTTACACATTGTATCTTAAGTAATGTAAAATAGAATTGCGTCAAGCACTCTTAGACTAACACTTGCCAATCTCTCTCTGGAAGACATACACACAACACAAGCAGGTGAGAGTCTTGCCTGAGATTGCACAAAGTCATATTTTGTGTTCATGTTTTCGTGTTTATTCTCACACCCACCTGTCCCTCATGTTCCTTGTAGAACTCTGTTGCCTGGTCCTTTGTCAGCTGCATCTCCTTCTGCAGGGCCACAGTAAAGCCGGCCTCCTGGATCTTAGCAAGGATCTCATCTGCATCGGCATCACCCATAATGTTTAATGATAAGCAACAGAGAGTGTATGTACAGTATTTCAGAACATAGTAAGTCTGACAGTACCACTTTTACTAATTGGTTGTCGTGATCAATGTGTTGTTACTGGTCATCCCATGATAAATGAGTAATCAAAAGATGATGGCTTCTGATACAGGTTGGTGAGTCATTCTTTTTATGTTGGAACTACATGTGATTGTACAACTTTGTAACTATGATAGCCTGCAGTTCTATAATGTCAACTCACAGATTCTGAACAGTTTTTTCTAGTATCCTTGCACCAAGTTTCAAGATAGTTTAGCCTTAGATAGACAAATATGAGTGATGAGTAGACAGTCACAGCCTGCCGTACCCTTGTGGTTCTTGAGTGCGTCCGGCCTGATGAGGGCCAGGGTTCTCTGTAGTCTCTTCTGGGCAGGCTTCGCCTCGGCCTTGGGAATCTGCAGGGGAAACATCAGTACAGACTGATTCATGTACAGCTAAGGACTGAGGTTTCATAGCAGAGGCACAGACCATGCTTTTCATACTTTTGGAGGAATAGTTAGTGTCAATCATGAAACAATTAAGGGGCAAGTAGAACACACAGTGGTTGAGGATTTGGTTCTCTCACCGCCAAGGCGCAGGTTTGATTCTCGGTGTGGGAAGCACTGAAACAACTAAGGTGTAGAAAGTTAACACAAAGTCTCCTGGCTCCCGGGAATCGAACCCTTGTGCAGAACCAAACAGCCTAACCGCTGGGCTAAAAGGTCTAGACCCATTAGACAGATTAGTTGATGGTGCTTGAACACCACTGTTACAAATGTATAAGTTGTACAACATTAAACTTTAGGCCACACCAATTTAATTTGTTGGTTCTCAGATTTTTTCAGAAAAAATATGAAGCGACAGGGCGAAAAAAATAAAAAACAGGTCTAGGCATCCTATTATAGGCTTAAATGCTACGAAAGGAGCCATGAAGTCAACACAAAAGGCTGGGTTAAAATTTGAACATTGAATTTTGAACTTTTAATCAAACCACTGCAATGATAAATGGGAAAACTGTAACAACTAGGAAGAAAAGGACTTTCCTCAACTGTTGGGGGCAAAACATGCGCATTTTTCAGTTGATTCTGAACCAGTATCATATTTTTTTTTTTTTGCAAATCAGAAAAAAACGAAGAGGCGAATCCGAGAACCAACATATTAAATTGGTGTGGCCTTATTAAGAAAAAAAACCTGCTAACCTGGAAGTTGGGGAAGAAGAATGCGAGTTCGCGTGTGGCCATCTCGTGTGAGTCGCTGCCGTGCAGGGCGTTCATGCTCTTATCTGTACCGTACTGAGCGCGCAGGCTGGGGTGGGAAAAACAGGACATTTTACCATTCATTAAAACTGGCATTCCATCAATGGTTGTTACATACTTCATGGTCTAGATCTTGTGTACGTAAGGTAGATAGTCTCATATGTTTCTTGTTATATGGCGGTAGATTTATGTGTACCTTGTACAATTTGTTTTACAATGAAGTTTAATCTAATAATAGTACTTATCAAAATTTATCACTAGGGTAGAATAGTATTGAAGATTTATTTGAAGAGAATATTCCAATCTGTTGCACTGCTTAGTTCAGTATGAACAAATTTGTCCTTTCTTTTACATTTGCCTTTCCCACTTAAGTTTTGGAGTTAAATTTTGCCATTACAAACTTTAAGACAAGATTTTGTGTTCTAAACTGTTGACAAAGATCCTTACTTTGTTTTATTGCAAGCTTACACAGGAATGTCAGAAAGAGAAACAAGCCGACCCACCTGTCTGGTGCCTCCTCCTTGGCAACTGACGAGTCAAACGGACCAATGATCTTCCTCCATTCGTCGATGACCTCTGCCCCAGCCTCGTCGCCCTTGGACAGGACCAGCACGTGGGATGGGCCGCTCGCCATGAAGGCAACCAGCTCGTCAAAAAACTCCTGGGATACAGGAAATACAGAGGGATTGTTAGCACAAGAACTCCTGGAAGTACAGTGGGTACGTTAGCAAATGAATTCCTGGAAATACAGAGGGATTATCAGTACAGGAATTCCTGAGAATACGGTCTCAGGGTTTGTTAGTATAGAGGAACATCTGCTGACTTCATTGTACATTTCTCTTGATTGAAAGGTACATGTAGCCTGGGTACCATCCGGATTTTTGCTACGAGCGTTGTGTAGCGAAAATCCGGATGGTACCCAGGCTAAGGTACATGTATGTGATGAAAAATCTGGTTTCTTTTCATGAGAAGTGCACCTTATTGTAAGGTACTAAAATATGCTGCATACTCTTGAAATTTTGGTGTCAGAAAAAAATTATACATGTATAAGCTTTGTTGTAATGTTATATGTATATGTACTAGTTTAAAAGTTTCCTGTTAAATTTCAGATTCGAGTTCTAAAGAGAGGAAGTAATGCTTGTAATAGGTTGCTGACATTCTAAACAATTCATGTTGTGTGCCCAGTTTTTTTCTGTGCAACCAATTATCAGGTTATAGTTACAGCTACAGCTACAGTGTCTCCAAAACATGAGTTTGTAGCTCTGCCCTGCCCACCTCATCAGCCTTGTGACTGTAGAACTCCCGAGCCTCCTCCTCAGTCAGAGTCCTCTCCTCCTGGGCCAGGATCTCAAACCCTGCGTCTTTTACCTGCAGGAGGGAACTCAGGGATTATAATATAAACAAGGTCTGTCTAATTTTCTTATGACTGACAAATAGTAAAAATTTCTCTCCTTCTTTCTACTTAAATATGTAACTTTACAGCAATGTGGTTCTGAACTGAAAACAACTAAAAGTCTGCAAACTTTTGTAGAAGTGCCTGGACATTGTCTGCCAATTGTTTATAGATTCTAATAAAACTGAATTGCCTGGACCCCCATACCCTCTGTATGATGTCCTCCACATGCCCTGCCTGCACCGCGTCAGGTTTGATGATGGCCACTGTCACCTCCTTCTGAGGACCTGCTTCTGTAAACACAGGCGTTAATGTCATGAGTGAGGGGAATTTCGAAAGTGATCTCAGACCAGCTTAGCTCAAATGAACTCAATGAACATCAGTTGAGCTCCAGAACTTGAGCCATTGACAGCTGGAACAACCTCAACAAGAAGACTTTATACAATTCAAAGATGGAGATGTCTGAACAGCCACGTGTTGCCTTGACAACAGCCCACCTTCCTCCTCCTCCTTCTCCTCCTCCTCCTCTGCCTCCGTCTCCTTGTCTTCCTGGTCAAAGATCGGGTCAGTGATCTGGGGGCAAAGGGCAAAGGTTAGAAGTTCCCTGTATCTCCTGGTATTGAAAGGTTTGGATGTGTACAATGAAACATATTGCTAGTACATGTATATGACAATGATATGTTTGTTTTAAATCCCTGCCAGAAAGCTAATTGCAAAGAAATTACACAAAAGAACAGTGAAACAAGGTACAAAAAAGTATAAAATCAACATGCTTTGTCGTTTTTCAGAGTTCACCTATTAACTTTTGCACATTTGCTAAATCAGAGTAGTGTATGACATACAATCTTAATACATTATCATCAACTTGAAGACAGCATTGCCTGATATGGCCACACCTGTATCTATGCTGAAGTACGTACCACTTTCCTCTCGGACCCGTCCTCCAGTACACTGTGTTCTGCCTTTAACAGCTCCGGTATGGCTTTATTTATTAACGGTGCGTTTGCTCCTCGTATCACATGCACAAGTTCCCCTCCCTACAATGCACAGGAAGATTCTGTTAATATCTCACTCACTCACTTTCAAATTAAGTTAATATCTCACATCCTTTTTTCTTAACAAATTTTCTCAGTGCAAGACCACTTCTAGGCACTGAACTAAGTTCCGGTTACTAGAACAGCATCTCTCTGCCTTGGTCAGAAACATCACTGAGAGGACTAACTTACCCAAAAGGAAGTCTTCAGCTCATGTGTGTACTGTTTGTTTTAGAAATTCTTAGTCATGTACTAGTAACTGTTACTAGCTGCCAAAAACATCCTGCTACAACAGGATGCATTTTTAGCCGACTGATGCCCACCCCTGTGTCAGGGACAACAGCAGCAGAATAATGAAATCCTGGAGACCTAATAAAAACAAACAAACAAACAAAAATCCTGGATAGTGAGTGTACAATGCTTACCGCCATGAAGAGGAACGTAGGCTGACATTTCCCCCGATATCTCTCCAGGGCCTCAATGTTGTCAGCTTCGGCCTAAGTTGAGAACAACATCAGAATTAGACTCCACTTTCAATTACCAGGCCTTCAGTATAATTATGTGATGTATATTACAAACAATGTGTATACTAGTAACCCAACTAAAACGTGACTGTGCAGGCCACGGCACGGTTTTTCCCAAACTTGTTAGACTTACGGAGATCTACACCAAGACCAAACAACTTAGATTCTTGGCTGAAAGTAGAGAACTTAAAAAAAATTGCTGATGGTTGGAAGTCTACAGTGGACTTGAACTAATAATGATCATCACATGATGCACACATTTTGGGGACCAGCTGTACAGTCAACTTGAAACATTAAGTCCATTCCTTACAGAGGCAAATCGCAGGAGGTCATCTCCGAGCTCGTTCTTGATCCTGCGGAGCATCCCGTTCACGGCGGTACACGGTCCCGCCCAGGCCTGGTACACATCAATCACTGTAAACAGGAGGGGGAGGGGGTTAGGGTACATGTGCAGGGCCCAGCCCAGGCCTGGTACACGTCAATCACTGTAAACAGGAGGGGGAGGGGGTTAGGGATACTCACTATTTAGTATATAATATCTACAGCAGATAATTCTGGGTACACAGTTTAACACAACTTTTCTATTGAATATACACTTCCTGTAGTGAAAAGTATGATCATTTTGAAACAATTTTCCCCTGAAGCCTACAGACGTCAACAGAGTGTTGCACCATCATTTACTTAGTTGGCAAAGAGCAGTCTGTTTACATTTCTTCAAACCCACAGTCCTTCACAAGCTTGTCTCCATTAGAAAGTTAGGTAAACAATCATTATGGCTCTTCCACTTACTGCCAAGCCCCTTCTTTGACAGGAAATCGTCCCATTGCTCCTGGTTCCTCAGCTCCTCCTGAAAGAGAAAAGCTTGTCATGAGCTTTCAAAGACATTGTACTCAAACTTTTTCCATAACAGACCAAAACTTAATAGCCTTATTTATTTAAGTCAGTTTCATCCATTGACTTATAATCAGCAATTTGATATCAGTTCCAGACAGTCACACTCTAGCCTGGTTATCAATGCCTTTATTTTTACACTACTTTAACATCATCTCACATCTATTTTAAGACCCAACAGCGCTAGCCAAACAGCCCTACCTGTAGCTGGATCTCCTTCTTCCTGGCCATGGTGACTCTGAGAACAACAACTGCAGGGGAACAGACTGTTAGTGTTAGTCATGGTCAACAACAGGTACACCTGCCTGGAGCTACCTCACCTGTCTGTTTTACCTGGGAACACCTGAATGTCTTGCACCTGTCTGTCTGCATCACCTGGGACACCTGTCTGCCTCATCTTTCTACCTCATGGGAAAACCTGTCTCATACCTGCCTGCTGTTACCTCACCTGTGTGTTTTACCTGGGGACACCTGAATGTCTCACACCTGCCTGGAGATATCTCACCTGTCTGTTTTACCTGGGACACCAGTACGTCTTACAACACCTGTCTGGTCTACCTGTCTGTCCCTGTTATTTTTACCTCGTGGGAATACTTGTATGTCTCACGCCTGCCTGGACCATTCTCACCTGTCTGCCTCACCTAGGACACTGGTACATCTCACAACACCTAGTATACCTGTCTCACCTTTTTACTTGATGGGAACACCTGTATGTCTCACACCTGCCTGGAGATATCTTACCTGGGAACACCTGTATCTGTCTCACAACACCTGCCTGGTACACCTGTCTGTCTCACCTTTCTACCTAATCAGAACTCCTGACTCAAAACAACAACAGTAAAGAACAACAACAGTTAAGAACAACAACAACTGAACAGGTGAGAACTGAGAACTGTGCCCAGGTAAACTGTTCTAAAGCTAACCCTGTACCTGCCAGGCTGCCTCTTTCTTCCTGCCTGCCATCTTGTGTCTCACTAGCTACAACTGGCAGGGATAAACAACAGGTCATGTCAATCTGCGTATTCTCACTGCCATCTTTTAAAAATTCTCTACCTGAATAAGGCCTTACGTAACTCACTAGCTAAGAGAAATAAATTAGCGTTGTAATTTAGAGAGGTTTAACTTTATAGCCATTATAATCGCAAAGATTGTGGGCTTTAAACCAAAATTGCCAATGCTGAAATAGATAAAATCAATACCTCTGTTATATAGTATTAACATTAGATTCTGCCAAATCGCAGGCGATCGTGGAATTACATAAAAATCACGAGTTTTCATAACTTCAAGACATCTAAAAGTTTTTGAAAGGGGGAGGGGGGCCAACGACGGGCATTATATCGATGGCATATTTCGGTCTTTTGCATGGACTTATGGCTTATTTGATAGCTAGTAAGCATACAGCTTTTTCCTTTAAGTTATATACATCACCTGAAAATCACCGATCTCGTGAAAAAGTCGGGTAAAACGTGGAAAAGTCGCTGTTGTTTTTGCTCCTCTGGTAGCAGACTTGGGAGGGCCGAACGCGAACTGTTGATGGTTGCTACGGAGATCACGTGACGTCGAGCGATACTGTGATTGGCTCCTTGTTGTCAGGTCTAACAATGGCGCCATATTTGAAACCATTCGCCACCATGCTTTTGATATTTGATATTTAATCGCGGCATCTAGGGCGATGTGAAAGGATTAGTATAGAATAGGGCGTTTAACTAAAAGTGTTACGATCTTAATTAGATCTCAATTCCATGAGGGGGGGTCTCCCTTTTCATAGTTATTCTGGCTAAAAGATTGCCCCTATCAAAGCAGTCAATCGTTTCTGTACAAATGTCATACTTGCCGCATTTGAAGAACATCATAAATATACTTTAGGCCACATCCACAGCAAGTATTTTTTTGGATGACATCAGCGCGTGCATTTATTTTCGCCTGATTTTGGGGGAAAAAAAAGAAATTTTGTTGCCCTCCGAAAGTGGTCAACGGACCGAAAATTAAATAGGCCAATAAGGCCATATGTCATAAACGCCTATGCTGTTTTGTCTCAAAATGCCCTAAATACCTATTGTTCAAAGTTGATTCAGTGACTTGAGGCACAATTGCTCGCTTTGATGGCAAGTGTTGACAGTGCTACGGTTGTAAGGGCACAAGAACGGTTCCGTTGCATATGACTATCCAACAGTTTTACAATTGCTCTAGTTAATGTATATTGTTAACGTTAACACATTAAGAAGGACAGGTAATAGTAACGTCGTGCTGTTTACCATATCATGTTTTTCACCTCAATTGTTGTTACAAAGTTCATGATTTCAAAAATTGGAAAATGTAGGAATCTTGTTTTTTTGCGCAATTGCCCGCCTTGTTTTTTCCGCCCTATTCCATGTCTGTGGAGCTCCATGTCTGAGGATGTCATCCATGAAATTTACGTGCTGTGGCCTTACTCATGCCTGGAATCCATGCCTGAACGCTCTCACAGTATCCACTCTGTTCCTCCGCTTCTGCTTTGAAGTAGGTTTGTTTAGTTCTGCCCAGCCCCGTTTCTCATGTTACATGTCACATTATACCCCAATTAAGGGTACTGATTGGTGGTGCGGGAAAGAACGAGCCTTGCGCCAAGACCTTTATTGTTGCTGGTGAGCTGGCGAGAGAAGCACCGTCATAGTTTTGAGCAACATACCTTCTGTTTCACATGGTAAGAAGCTATTTCTTATTTCATGTCATTTGCGGATTTACAGTGATGAACTTTCAGTATGTGTGCACCTGTTTCCTCTATGGTAAATATAGGTAGAGAAACTCGATGGTAAGATTTGAGGAAGAGTTTAAGCAGGAAGTAACGAGGTATATTTCGGCATGAACTGGAGGGGGGGGGGGAGAAACATCTCGGTAGAAATGGACCTGATCCAAAAGAATTTACTGTTCAAGCAACACTTGAACTTGAAGACGAAATCTGAAGAAATGACTGTATGGAGTGCAAGCGCGGGGCTCGTCCCTGTACGGTTTGGTAAAGCGGACATTAGCAGAGACACAGAATTCAATGACATGCATTTAGAATTCAATAACGTTTCCCAACTTTCCCCCACTATTGATATTCGACATAGTCCTTTGTATGTAGATCTTAGATCTACTGGCAAAGTTTTTATTTCCTGACTTCCACCTTTCGAATAAATACTTGCAAAAAAAGTAAACCAGCCTTCAAGGAAGTTGTGTTTGCAAAAAAATGTATTCCAGCCTTTGAGGAAGTTGTACCGAAAACGAAACTTGACGACGGGGATTCCCCTGAACTGGCCCAACTGACCTGCCGGCATTGTTCAACCTACCTTTAGCACGTTACGTAATATCTCTACTGATTGCCAAATAGAAGAGCGGTGAGTCATTGCTTTCACATTCGTCTGAATAGGCGGAGGTCCAATCAGAGTAGAATCAGAGTAGAATGGTGTAACCACATGTAATGTGGTGTCACTCATTACCACATATTTGTTTCTCATTATAGAATTCATGCCCGTAGCCTGGATTTTGAATTGGGGGGGTCGTCCCATTTCTTGAGGGTCAAGCTAGCGCCCGGGGATCCGGGGGTTCCCCCGATACCCCCCCACTGGCTGTGGGAATGGAATTCATTACTCCAACACACCAAAACATTTTCTTCTCTTAAATTTTGTTTTCTTCTCTTAAATTTGTTTTCAGAAAACACGCTACATTACAGAAGCCATGGCAGGAGTTCTCCCTATTATATTAAGCATTTGCGCCATCAGCCGTGGTATTGCCATGGGCGCAAGGGAAACCGGTTCGACCGGAGGAGAAAGTTTACCGTTGGTCGCACAGCAAACCTGCAACTGTAGCCAGTCAACCTTGATTTCCTTTGAATGCCTCTGCCTGGACCTGTCTAGCCTGGCCCACGGGCAGGACCGTATATTCCTGTCTAAACATCTTTCTGATACTCCAGAGATCATTGATTTTGTTGTGAGGTGCAAACGCAAATCATCAACAAATACCAGTGGGCTGTTCGACTTCCTCCCCACATCTGTAAAGAAACTGAAGCTCGCTGGTTGTTTCCAGCAGCATGTAGGGAAGAACGTTTTCTACAGCATCTCCGAAGTAGAGGAAGTGGCAATCGAGAACTTTCCACCTGATGAACTAGAATTCTGTGGGAACTATCTAGACGTCATCAACAAATCTTTCCCACCGGTGGAACTTGACCCTGAGCTATTTCTGTCCATGCCACAAGTACAAAAGCTCACGCTGGCCTTTTTATCCCTCGATAGGTTCCCCAAAGCGCTCTATCAGGACGTCAATGGTACATACCCCTTACCAAACCTGAAGAGTCTTACTCTTACAGGCAACAAAATTCCGGACCTAAAACCAGAATACTTACAACACCTGACAAAGTTGAGATCACTCAATATCGAAGCTAATACTATTTCAAACTTATCAACAACATTTCCATTCTTACCTAGCTTACAGGTGTTGAACGTAGGTACCAACCGAATCAGATCTTTGGTCGGTTCACCCTTTGAAAACCTCCGTAATCTAAAGTCGTTAGATCTGTATCAACAGCTCTCATCAGACAAGGACAGTTCCAAACACCAGTCTTTCGATAACCACGGTTTAGGCGCCATGGAGTTTATTTTCCCTACTTCTTTTCTTGGACTCTCAAAACTGAAATCTCTTCACTTGACAGTGAGCAATATTCGGTCTATTCCAAATAACGCATTTAGGGATTTGGTGGACCTTGAACGATTAAACCTGTGCGACGGGCTTATAGAATATATCGGGGCGTCAGGATTTCAAGGCTTGAGTCTCTTACAGTCTTTGGACTTAAGTTATAACAACCTAAGTGCCATTGATCCTTCGGTTTTTAGTAGTCTGAATTCAGTTCGCTTTCTTTATCTACAAGGCAATTCTCTTCGCTCTCTCTCTGGAGCAACATTTGAAAACATGCCTTATTTGTCATGCTTGAACTTGGGGAAGAACCGTTTGACAACATTAACACGTGACATATTCAGTCCGCTACTGAACTTGCGAAAGTTATACGTTCACGGAAATGAGCTAGTCAGTGTTGAGGAGGTGTTTTCCGGCATTACGTCTGAGTTTTGCGGAATAATTGACCTATCCTACAACAATGTGGAGACATTGGACATCTCTTCGTTGCAAATTCTTGGTAACGTTGACAGAACTGTACATGTGGACTTATCCCACAACAAATTGCGAGTTCTTCACGTCACAGAATCGTACGGTTCAGCAGACATGGGGTTCCTGGCCGTAAGACTGGATCTAAGGTGGAACAAATTTACTTCGTTACCGTTTGAGCTAGCAAAATACTGGTCTTTCAGTAGATCAATGATCTCGATTCCAAGCGTTTTTGGTCGTAATAATGGCGACATCTCCCTCCAGATGGTTCACAATCCACTAACATGTGACTGTGGGCTTTACGACCTGATCTTAAACTTGGATGTCGCAAAAGGAGGCGTCCTCTACTCAAAGACTGACTTCCAATACATGGAATGCACATTTCCCGACACGATGACTGGTAGAAGGGTTGAAGAGATCAGCCCTTCTGGGTTGTGGTGCTCGCACGAGTGCTACAACCGACTGTACTATTGTCTTTGCTTCGAGCGTGCAGGGGAGCTCCTTAGGTCATCGGCACCCGAGTGTGAGTTTGAACGAAATGAAGCCTGTCCATCAGAATGTTCGTGTTCGTTCCAAGGACAGCTACATTCTTCTACATCTCCTTACAATGAGTTGGTGAACTGTTCTTGGAGAAACTTGACTTCTGTCCCAGATGACATTTCCAACGCCACAACAATCCTTCATTTGGAAGGAAATCAGCTAAGAGTCATCAACCGAACTGTTCTTCCCAAACTTTCGATGACACGAGAACTATACCTAAATGACAATAACATTACACATGTCGGCGATATGTCATTCGACAACTTCACCTCGCTTGAAATCCTTCGACTCGACGGAAACAACATCCCTGAGATAAACAGCGCAGCTTTCAAGTCCCTCTCTCGTCTCCGAGAACTTTACCTAAACAATTCCGGTGTGAAATATGTAGAAGCTGATACGTTTCAGAACCTTGCAAATTTACGGGAACTACAATTGGAGAACAACAAGCTAAAGTCTATCCCCGAAAACATGTTTTCTGGTTTGAAGAAGCTGACGTTACTCGGCATTCGTGGCAATCCGCTGACCTGCGGCTGCGATGTTCTGTGGTTCGCGAACTGGCTGCGGAGTAGAGTCTACCTTCTGTCACAAGGACGTAACGTCAGCTGCGTAGCAAGTGCAAAAGTATCCCGGGAGATTTTGAGTTTGTCTGTGGCAGAGTTTGACTGCGAGGACCTACAGGCAGCTCAAGCAAGAACCAGACTCATCATTGGTCTGTCGATTCCGCTGGTTCTTGTGACGATCCTTTTCTTTTGCGTGATTGTCGTCGTGAAGCAAAAGGAAGCCATCCAAGTGTACCTGTACGCCAGGTACGGATGGAGGTTCAGGGAAGAAGATGACGAAGACAAGGAGTACGACGCCTTTTTATCATACAGTCAACACGACTTAGACGTGGTGCTGCAAGACGTCTTGCCCGCCCTTGAGAACAGGGAGCCGCCGTTTCGCGTCTGCTTGCACCATCGCGATTTTCTCCCGGGCATCCCAATCGCCGAGAACATCTTAAACGCCGTCAGTGCCAGCAAGAGAACCATCATTCTTCTGTCCAACAACTTCTTAGAAAGCGACTGGTGTCAGCTGGAGTTCCAGGCCGCGCACGCGCAGATGCTACAGGACAGGGCTAATCGCGTGATCGTGATTCTACTGGACGACATCCCCGCCGAAAACGCCCCTGCGGACATCCAGCATTACCTGAAGACCAACACGTACCTGAAGTGGGGGGACGAACGTTTCTGGGAACGGCTGATTTACGCCATGCCGCGACCCAGGCCGCATGCGCAAAACGAGGACGGAGATCGGCTGGCCCTGGTCGAGCTGGACCACAATGCTTTCCTTATGGACCCCACCAGGCATCTGTAACTACATTATAGTACATGACTTAGCATATCATTATGTCTTCACCATACTAATTACAGTATATGTAAATAACTGTAACAGTTATAGTTTTTATATACTGCGTGTCACGTAAACATACATTTATAATACATGTATGTCCTTATTATAGATACACATGTACAATAGGAAATACGATATTCAGACTAATAGTCAGTGCAGGAAGTCTTACACCCTTATTACAACTTTTATTTTTTAGGTAGAATTACGGTATACCCACCACTTTTTGCACGTAGCTTTTCCAAAAGGTTGTACATGATTCTATTAAAATGTAAATAAGATATGAGGTTGTGAAACTGTAGTTTAGTATGAAGTGATTGTAACAAGTGCAGATATAGGTTATATGTTAGCAAAGTATTTGTTTCTTGGAAGTGTTTTAAGTAGAGTGTTAGTTAAGTTCACACTCATTTAACTTTATGAACAATGACAACCCTGCACCAACAGATCTGGACAGATGGTTTATTTCAATGGAAATAATTACAAACTGCTGTCATAACACTGTTTTCCTCTGTAAGATATAATATGTATTTTAAGGAAGGTGTAACATATGGATTGTTTTTACATTTGTACATTGTAAATCATACCCTGTAATGTTCAGGTCTAAAACATTTTCATTTGTACTGATAACAATTGACTCTGATACAATAGATCTGCTGACTAGTGTTAGCGAGGGGCTCAAGTCAGGAAATTTTAACTTGAACAATAAATTATTGAACTGACTTGTAATAGCCCTTTTATACACACTCCTGGGTACTAAATGATGATGATATCAGTAAAGATGAGATTAATATGAAGTTAAGCTGTTTTATCTTTAGAGAAATGCAATAAAACAGCATTACATGATATGTACATTTGTGTTGGTACAATCAGGTCTAGATAGCAGGGCATGGGCTTTGGCTATTGAAGGAAGGAAGGAAGGGTACGAGCTTGGAACTTTTCAAGACTGTGCAGATACAAGCGTTATAACTGCAAAATTGACATGTCGAGTCCAGTAAAAGACTTATTCACTTCACCTGATTGATAAACAACATTATGTACACTATTTATATCAGCATAAACTTATCTCCATAATGACATATAGTTAGTTGACTTGATTATACATGTGCAGTGAAATGTACAGGACTTCATATTGCTGATGGTTAATGACAACCATGCATGTACAAGTGATGGGTTGATGAAGGTTATGAGATCAAGGTATAGAGGTAATCAGATACAGAGATAACAGTTACTCAAGCAACCAAATAGATTTTGATAAATTTTGAAAACCTATCCAGTTGCTTGAGTGCAGTGGATTCATTCCTCTAGCTCACAGACATCCTTCAGCAAGAAAAGGTTCTTAACGGGAACTGTGCAGCTCCAGATGCCTTACTGAGGGATAACTGCTGTGTGCTAAATGTTGGTTAGCCTGAAGAATGAAACCACCCTACTATGTTCTGGTGACATTAACCAAAAGGAAAGGTAGCAAATGGTTGTAGTCCTAAAGCAGATCTGGCAGAATTTGAGAAAGATGAGTGTCTCAGGTAAGACGACAGGTGATGTTATGTGAGGTACTGGAAGGCCAGACAATGAAATAACAATTACTCAAGCAAATGGATTGATAGATTTTCAAAAGCTGTCCAGTTCCTTGAGTAACTGTTATTTCCTTGTCTAATGATATTAACCAATAGGAAAGGTAAGAAATAGTTCTAAAGCAGACTTGGCAGAAAGATGAGTGTCTCAGGTAGACGTTATACGTTAAGAGGACAGGTGATGTTACGTGAGGTACTGGAAGGCCAGGTACATGATGACACCCGTGACGAGCATCCCGCCAAACAGAATAAACCTGTCGTAGAAGGTTCTCTTCTCGATGAGCCGCATGACTGTGTTGGACATCCCCAGCATGTTGGCTACGTCAAGCATCTTCTTATGGGCTCCCTGGGAGGGGAGGGGGGGAAGGAAACTTAGTGAGATCTATTCTCAAGTTAGCCTGGAGTCCAGCCAACCAGCTACCAGCCAACTGGGTAGTGGATCTTGGGGAGTGGACTAAAGCTAACAAGGCTGGACTTCAGGCTATTCTCAAATCAGGTGTCTTTCTGCTATGATGAGCTCATCCAGTCAACCAACAGTAGTGTGTGTAGTCCAGTGGTTAGTGACCATGTCTCTGGGCCAAGAAGTGGTGAGTTTGAATCCTGATTCAAATTTGTCATTATTTTGATACAAATCCGACCATGCAAGAATTTTAGTCTCGTAATTTAAGCAGAACGTGTCAAACAACAGCCATCAGTGCCAATGTTTTTAGGTGTTTGAATACAAATAAGGTTTCCCTCTGTCATCTTCATCATTATCCCAACACTTGTTGAGATTATGTATCTAACTAAGATGTGTCTGCCTGACTGTCCCTGACATCAGTGCCTGTTTTACTGTACCTTCAGTGTGCTCCTCTGCCCCTGCAGGCTGGCCATGATAGAGCTGCCTGACCCGATGAGGTCGTCGACCCCCCTGTGTGCGTTGTGTAGGGAGGAGTTGTGCTGCAAGGCGTGGTCTATCATAATAGATGTGTCCTCCTGTGGGGAATAGATAAGAAAAAAAAATGGTAAATTCAATGGTCACTTAGAATTTGGGAAACCATTGGCAAAATTTCAAGAGCATGCTAAGCATAGGTAATACTATGAACACAATGAACAGTGGACCACAGCTTAACGTCCCATCCTAAAGACTGCAACCCTTCCAGTAGCGTGCATGTCAGGTGAGCAACAACAGTTAAGATTCAAATTCCCAACCTCTTGATCCAGAGGCAGGGTTCCTAACCACTGGACTGCACTGCTACTCATCAGCGTTTATAGATATACAATGTGCAGGACTGGCTAGATCTTTATCTCTTGGTTGTGATCACTTTATACATTGTATCTATAGTCTACATCTATGTTTATAGCTACTTCAGAACTGAGACTATATATATATGTTCGTAGGTACTTGCTTCAACAAAACCCAGCTCTTTCACAGTGATGAAATACACTAGTTAAACTGAACTGAATCTCACATTAGGAGCGAACTCCCTGTTAAGCAGAGCCTCCCTGTCCCTGTCCTCCTGTTCCCGCTGGTATCTCTTGTGCTGGAAGTTCCTCAGGGCTGCCTTAAGGTGCTGCACATCATATCTCAGCTGGTCGACTCTCCTGGGGAGGGGGAAACATCAGTATATCAGTCAGTGTTGATGCAATACTGCATGATCAAATATTGTCTGTAAAAACTCTTAGTTACACTACGAGTAGTTAGTACTAGGCACTAGGCACTCAAATGACGGCCCCTTCCTAGTCTTCAAGGATAAGAAGGCTTTTATTAGTGGTAACTGGCAGTTTGATAATGAGAGAGTAGAAAATTCCTGCTACACTCAACACCTACATTTTGACTCATTAATCCTACAAAACATGACTGGCGGTATGTTATGCATTTTGGGATTTTTTTGTTAAGCCAAACTACTAAACTTTTCTCAAAGTAATATTACATGTATAATATCAGCACTAGTAGCAATTTGCCAGATACAAATTCCTACAGTATGCACATAGTGAACATTCTCTCTGCAGCTTCCTAACCCCACAACCAATAGAGAACTTAGATGGCAACTTCAGGAGCAGTAACAGTCTGACTTACAGTTTAGCATTCTGCCTCCTGTTGACGGGTTCCTTACTGACCAGGATGTCCAGCCGCTCCAGGTTAGAGAAAATCTGCTCCGTTCTCCTCTGCAGGTCATTCTCTACCACTGGGAAAAACACAAACAAAAACAGGGAAAAAATTACATTGGTATGCAAACCTATTATAAGTGCTGAGTCTCTTTTGAGTCCTCTCCACACAAAAGGGACTATAATAGGTTTGGATACCTGGGAGAAGATTGTAACTGTAAGATCATACTAAGATGCACTCACAGTGAACTTCATCTTGTCCTGCCATCTCCAGTCTGCCCATCCCATTCTGAACCTCGTGGAGCATCCTGAAATACAAGCAAATAAGACCATTCAAAATGGAAACAACACAATCAATATACTATCACCAAAAATGCCATGTACCACTTTTCCTCCAATATTTCAAACCTCAAACCATCTTTCCTATAGATTGTAAGCTTTTCTTTAAAACTGTCCAGAAAAGGCTTGAAACTGGTAATAGTATGTCTCGAAGAGGCCTTGGGGCTTTAAAAAGTATTCTTAACCACTTCTCATTGTTTATTATCCTCTCCCATGTTAATGTAATATTATTTATATTCTGACTTTTTAAAAATCCACATTGACATTTTAAGACATTGAAAAAATGAATCTACTTTTTTTAAATATCTTTTTCCTTTAATTTCAGATACTAGTAAATTCCAAACCATCGGCTCCGACAATTATAACAAACGGTGGTAACGGTCGCACCTGTTGAACAGGTACTACTATGCACGCGTGCGCGATAACTGCGGATCCGGTAACACACCACACCACACCACCCAACCATCCAACACGTGTACACCGCAAGGTACCACCGCTAGCTGTAAACACAACCACCAAACGTGGTACCCAAGGTACTAGTACTACAGGTACGCAGTAGATGCCTGGTTGGCTGTGTGCGGGCGCGGCTGTAGGGCTGGTAGCGGTGCTGGTGGGTCTGTGGCACGGCGGGAACACCCCGGCACAGTTGTGGGGGCGCGGAGGGGGAGGGGCCGGGACCGCGCTCAGGGAGGGACACGGGAGATCCGCAAGGTACAGTATCGCTGCTGCTTCGATTACTTTAAACTTCATACATCTTTATTTATCGATGCACTATGTACTTCTCTGCCTTGCGGGGGTGTTGAACAAGATATCAAGATCTTCCTACTTGTTTTCGCTTCAAACTTTTTTGCTCCGCTTGGTTTTTTGGATGGGTGAAGGTACAGTTTTCTAGAGAATGAAATATGAAGATCGGAAGAAAAGATGTAACAGTCGCACACGAAGTAAAAATAGATGTTACGTTAAACGTGCCATCGGGCAAGCGAAGTAAAAAGAAATGTAACGAAGGCAGGGAAAGGTGCTTTTGTTAGTGCGAGCGAGCCGCTATACTATAGCGGTCCAGTTGGTTGTTCCAAATTTGTTCCATATGGTGAGCACTTATTTGCTCATCGCGGTCTACTACAGAAAGATCAGAAGTTGCTATCACTTACTTGTTGGTCTGGTGGTACAAAGCCTCCATGGTTGCGTAAAATTCTGCCCGAAAACAACCAAAAACGCCGAAATTTCGGTTCACTTCCGCCCTCCCACCGCTTGGACACGTCAGGAGTAGGTCATAGGTTACAGGAATAGTTCATGTGGTAATCAGGGAGTGACGTGATTTTTTAAATTGTATCTATAACGCATTTTGTGCAAAGATTTACGACCAAAAATCACATTTTTCAACAATTTAAATTCAATTCAATAATAAAAACTTAATTGGTACAGATTAATATTCGTATTTCTAGTTCTTTGTAATTTAAAAGAAACCCCCTGGAAAATAGGTTGTATGGCTGTATCCAATTTCGGCCGACTTGCACAATTTCTTTTTGGTGCCTTATTTAAACTAGGCTTTTAGTATTCTTAAACTCACAAAATTTTCCATGGGAACTTTGAATAATATTGTTTTATGAATTGTATTCTTTTTTATGATTGATAAATATGTAATTTCTCTGTGAAGTACACATTTTAAGACACATATATTTTAGGCATTTTATAATTCTACATTGGCCAACTGTTGACCTGAAGCACGTTGACTGCTGTGTCATGCACATGGTTGGCCCAGGCTACCTGCGGATTCTCACCTGCTTAGGCAAAACCTACCTGAGAAACTCACCTTTTACATCTTCTTCCACCTCAAGACTCCTTACAAGAAACCCTGCGCGTCTTCACTCCCGATCTAGCCAGGCCCCGTTCCTCTTGAGCTTGAACTTGAGTAGTTCTCGTGGCCCCTCCCACTCGAAACTGAAAACAACAACCTTTTGTCCACATATTACCTGCTTCAACGGTACCCGTGCTTTTATTTCCACTTCCCCCGCCCGCTCTCTCATCTCCAGCATGGGACAGAAGAAGCCGTTTGAGCGCCTTCCTCAGGACGTGAACCCGACAAACTACGCCTTACGTCTGCAGCCCGACCTGGAGAAGTTCACGTTCACGGGCAGGGAGGTCATCAGTGTGCAGGTGAGGCTTAAGAGACACTAGATAATGTCCTCCTAAATGAGACTAAGACAGGTTTGTACCACAGTGTACAGATTTGCTGGATAGATACTACCCTTCACCAGTAAGTTACAGTAGTAATTTGGGGAAGAAAGTTATTTTACTATTTTCTGAACTAGAAAAAGAACTTGAAAAATATCTCAACAGGATAGTCAGGCATTTGTCAGCTGTTACAGTATTGGTTTGATCTTACGGTTGGTTTCCTGTTTAAGCTGCATAATTTAGGCAATGCTAGATCAGCCTTGTTTATCCATTGTAGCCTAGGTTATGGTGACGCATATCCAACCCAAAAGATAACCTAAAGTCCGCTAAGGAAAGTGTCAAACATTACAGTTGCAGACAAAATTACACTCCCTACTGATCAGTATCCTGTACCAGGATTCAGAAGCGACAGGAAAGGGAAAGAGTAGAAAATTGGCCAGATATATAACATGCTGAAGGAGTTGGTCCACTAAAGGAGTACATTTCCGCCTCCTGAGGCCACTTCTAAAGCCCGATAGAGTCTGGTAGAGACTAGAAAATGTCATCCAGGTTGACATCTGTATTTTGTGATGTTCCTTCCTGCAGGTGCAGAAGGCCACAGACAAGGTGGTGATGAACAGTGTTGACATCACCATCGCTACGGCAACCTACAGGCCAGAGAACGACACAAAGGGTGAGGTCATTCTTTCACTTTCACTTTATTTATTTTACCAGTAATTACAACTTAGGCCATTTTGGGCTGCTTTTCAGGTAATCCTGGATACACATAAAAATACACACAACAAATACACAGTACCATCAGCTTGGATCATCTATCAATGGCAATAGCTAGCTATTGACATGTTCTACAATCATGATCAAAAGATATGCCATCATTATTTATTTACTGATCTGTCTGGGAACTTTTCCCTATCCCAGCTGAAATCATTGTGTGAATACCAGGATCTTGGAGCTAAGTTTATCCTGAATCAGATTAACAAAAGTTTGAGTAAAACACCAGAAGTCCAAAAATATAAAATATAAATCATTGTTCAAGTCTTTTTGGATTCTCTTCCATCCATTTAATGATTGTTTTGTTAAATTCTTACACTTATGTCACCTAATATTTTTTGCTCAATCATGTGAAAATCGTTTTGACATCATGGAGAAAATGTGTTGTTTTCAGACCTGGCGACCAGTGAGATCCAGTTCAACAAGGAGAATGAGACCGTCACCCTGCACTTTCCTTCCGCCCTCCCCACTGGTATGTCTTGTGTCATCTGTATTTATACACAGTGAAGCCTGTTGTCAGTATACTAAGCCTCAGCAACCACCTAAGGGACTACATGTATATGGAAAAGTGTCACTGAGAAATACACAGATCTCAACTTAGACAGCATTTCCTTGTCTAATTATGGACTAACTAACAAACTAACCAAATTTTTAACCAGACTTTAGGCCTAGTAAAAAGAACACAATACATGTAGGTAAGAGGTGAAATAGGCTTCACTGAAAGGTATCAAATAATAACTATTGGCAATCAACCTACTTTGGCCTCATTACCTAGTTATTACCTCGATAAATGAATTTTTAAAAATTGTCACCATTCCCCCCCCTCCCCAGGTGCTGGTGAGTTGACCTTGGAGTTTGAAGGTGAGCTGAATGACAAGATGAAGGGGTTCTACCGCAGCAAGTACACCTCTCCTGATGGACAGGACCGCTTCTGTGCTGTCACACAGTTCGAGGTCAGAGTCAGTTTTTAGGAAGTCTATGTGTAAATGTAATGACATGCCACAATGGCCTACAGTAGTAGTGAATAGAGGGCTTGCGTTGCATTTTGTACAAATTTGGGTCGCAGGTTTGATTCTCTAACTGGATCATAGACTCATAACTCAAAGACTGAAGTAAGCAGACTAAAACCTCAAGTGTTAAGTTTGTTAAAGGACATACACTCATACAGATTCAACCATAACTTGACTCAGGGACACATGGGTCCCTGTCCTTTATTAGTCCTACTGGTGACCAGACACGAGTCCTACTCCCTACAAAAGTAAATTATGCCTTGATGAACATATCTGAAACATTACAAAGATTTTGGTTATGAAAAAGAACTACCGGTAACAGGTACATTTACTTAAACAAATACAAAACACATGTAGGTGCTAAAGTCAGTCTCTTGTCCTTGGATCTAATTTCCTTGTTGTTTTTTGTTCCCCAGGCGACTGACGCCCGCCGTGCCTTCCCCTGCTGGGACGAGCCTGCCCGCAAGGCGACCTTCGATGTGACCTTGGTTGTGCCCAAGGACAGGGTGGCTCTGTCAAACATGGTAGGGAAATCTGGCCTTCACAAGTACTTATATAGTGCTTGTCATATTTTCTGTCTGTCATACATCCAGAAGATAACCTGCTGTGAGCAATCAAGTCCTAAAGAAAACCAAAGGATTTCTCATACATTTATTAGAGTCCTAGCTCTAGTGCTGGAAGACAGTTGAACTCTAATTAGGGGTATTGGACGCCATATAATACCTGTTACGGGGCCGGTAAACACCGAAAATGGGTCGATTTTAGAGCGTTCAAACGAGTATATAACAAAGTAAAAATGCTTGAAATTTGGTATCAGTAGTTGAAGGAACTCTTTATCTCTTATTTTGTCCAAGTTTTATTAAGATACCTTCAATGGTAAGCGCGAAATCGCCGATCGGGTCGCGCGAGTTTTCCCGGCGGCGCCATGTGCGCGCCCTCCCCGTGCCGAAAATTTCAAGAAGGCGCTGATCGCCGGAGCCCGCCCGCGCGTACCGTGTGCAAAATCCAGAAAAAACTAGCCACTAATTTGTAGCCAAGAATACGAGCTTTCGAAAAATGCCTTCTTTTTTTCTGTACGACGTCAGGATCGAAAGTTGTCCGCATGTGAAACTTTCAAAGTGCGATATCTCCACAACTTGCCCCCGGGGCAATTTTAAAAGGAAACTATCATATGAAAATTCAGAACATTAGCTTTAATTTGATGCAAGATTCGGATATGTGCGATC